CTGTAAATAAAAGAAAATAAGCAAATCAAACAACAATTAAAAGTAAGATTAAAAAATAATAATAAAATAAAATAAGTAAAATAAATAAAATAAATAAATAAAGACTAAAAATAATAGTTCCCAGCAACGGTGCCAAAAACTTGTTGTCGATTTTATCTCGCAAGTGGACGGATCGTAACAAGTAGTAAAGTGGATCTTTTGAATCCGAATTATCGTTCCCACGAGAACTATACTTTAGTATTCAATTTATTATTCCTAACTCCTATTTGATGAATATAAATAAAAATAAATAAATAAATAAATTTGATTGACTGTGATTTTTAAATCTAACTACTAAAAATCTCGGGAATGCAATAGAAAATTAGTGAGAATTCAAATAATAAATGGAGATTAGGGCGGAACAACTTCACCTAATGGTCACCTTAATTTCTAATATCGAGATTCATAAAATTAAAATAGTGTTCGGTCAAATTCTTCTATTGTATTCAACTTACCCTTCTTGAGTTCTCGTTGAGTCTATTTAATTAGTTCAATTTCATATCTCTATATAAATTAAATTTAATTAAACAAAATAACAGTTCTAAGAATTTCTATAGCACCGCAGTAATTAATATAGGTATCTCTACACATTATATTAATTTACCGAATTTTGATATATTGTCTAAACAAGAATCCGCATCTCTAAGTAATTATTGTTGACGAAATCATTGAATATTTGGCCAAAAAATTCAAAGCATTAAAAACATAATTAAAATTCACACATAAAATATAAAAGAACAATAATCTCAAATAAAATAAATAAAGGTCCCAAATCAGTTACATTGTTCGCTCTCAAAATAAATTTAGCTACGCATATTAATAGGAGAAAAACAAGTTATTATCATAGAAGATATCACCCGATTTATTGACGGAACGTGATTAATAAAACTGCTGCCCTTTTTTTCGTGTTTCCGTCTTGTCTCGAGTCACCGCCGTGTTTGTATATAATTCAATGATATTGGCAGACATCACCCAATTAATTCCACCAAAGCTGCCTAAATTTCTGTGCTTGTATATCTATTAATTTGAGCGGCAAATCAACCCTCCAATTCTCTCTTCTCTCCGTCTGTGTCAAATCCCCCCTTTTTGCAGAATGTGTGTATAAGAATATATAATGATAATGGCTGCCCTTTTTAATTTCTCTCCTCCAGTCTACCACAGAAATTCGCTCTCCCTCTCTCTAGGTTTGTACGTGTATATATATATATATAATCTCCAACCTAGTAGCCACACTTTTTAATATAAAAAAGGGACCCCCCATTTCCAAGTGCCTGCATAAATGTGTGTATATATATATATATATAACAACCCTAGCCACAAAGTTTGACTTTCATTCAAAGACTTTAATACTATATTAGCCATCAAATCCTCGATCTTTCCATACAATAAATGTTAGTCCTTGAGCCCTTTTATTCTTGCAACCCATATATTCTTTGGTTCAATTCAAGTCCTTCAATTTCTAAATTATTCAATTTGACCTCCAACATTTCAATCTTCGATTCATGGTCCGGATCAACTATTGAATTGTTACAACTTGGCCCCCAACTTTTGGATTTTGCTTCATTCCTTTAATTCCTTTTTCATTCATAGAATTTACCTATTAAAAATAAGAAACAACAATTTAGGATATAATTTGTCAAAAAAAACCATCAAATATCTTTATTTTAAGGTACCAAATAAGTGTATAAAATACACTTATCAATCATCTAGCTTTTATTTCAAATTGTAGTTTTGGAAAGTCATGATATTGGGACAAACAATGACTCTTTAACATATATGCTCTTCGAACTTGATCTCAGATATTAGCATTGTAATTCAAAATAGGTGTCCTTAGTTCAGGATTAATTGGAAGTTTTGTTACGTCAAATTCCACATTATTCGATATCCCGCATCAGCATTATCTACATTTATTTTTCTTTGAAAGAATCTCTTCATTTGATATATAGATTTAAACATTTAATATCTAATTAGTTCTGTGCGTAATTCGAAATGACTAAAATAGAATAAAAAATACTGAAAGCAAAAGCAAAGCAATTCACATGGCAATTCAAATAGCAATACTGTAATCAACTCACAATGCAAATTGTGCAATTCACAATTCACAACGACAAAGTAAGCAACTCATAGAGACAGCATTACTGGAATTGAAAGTCTGGTAGCAAAAGCAATTGAAGAGCAAAATGCTAATTTCTTATGTTAAAAGGAAAAAATCGAACATTATTACAATTTACGCAAATCAAAATAAGAAAAAGATAAGAAAAGAAAAATGAGTATAAGTTTCAGGTTCGAGGCTTCACCTTCTTCTCCTGCTGTGCAAATGTTGCCGCAGAATCGTCAGTGGAATGTGGAATCATCGGGGGTTGCGTTTACCTAGTGCCTACTACTGTCTAGGGCTTGAATCGGGACAGAGTAGGCGTGCAGCAATGAATCCCGCGATTGGAGGATATTGAAAGACGGAGGTTGAGAAAATGAGAAGTTTGGCTCTCGGATGTGGAGGTGGACGAAGGAGTAGGTTGAATTGAAAATTGAATTCAAATGGAATGATTGGAATGGGTTGTCATCTTTGATGACAATGGATCTAATGGTATTGCGTTGAATCATGAATAGTGGGCTTTACTGCTTCATGCTTCTTCACTTCTTGGCTGTGCATTACAATTATAAATGTGGGCTAATAGTTAAAAAGTAAAAAATTGGGCATTTGGATTGGGCCCAAAAGTCAGTGCAGGCCTGTGTCTGCACTGGACTTCATTGGGCTCCACCCCTAGGAGCCAAGATCTTTGAGTTGCATGGAAAAATGAAGTATTAACATAGATTACAATATAAAGTTTAGGAATAATAGTATTGATATATGACATAATATGTAAAGGTATTAAATAGTTTATAGCTAATACAACAAAGTACATTTGATTTGTCCAATCAACAGATAGCAAATTCAAAAAACTTTGTAAAACTCTAATGTCTCTAATCATGACTAGTATTGTGAGTCCAATTTATCTAACGGTTGAGATCCTATTTTTGGATAATAATTTCTTACTTTAAGGAATCTCTCTTTCAATCTTACAGTTGACGAAAGATCAAAATTAAATGACTAGTAGAGTTGAGTTAGAAAACAAACAGGGTCTGTTTGATTGTGAAGATGAAATTTGGATGGAAAGAAAATGAATTCCAAAGAATTGAATTACCTAGAAATTGTTTTCCTGGGAATTGTAAATTATTGTGTTTGATTGGTATAATTTTTCATGTGGAAAAAGTTGAAGTAAAAGTATTTTTTTGTGTTCGTTTGACTTTGTTTTACATGAAAATTATCAATTTAAGGGATATTCACTTCTACCATTGTTCCTAGAATTTGTTTCCATTGCCAACCAAAAAAAAAAAAAAAAGGGGGAAAACCAAAAACCACCTATCCCTAAAAAAAAAAAAAAGGGGGAAAACCAAAAACCACCTATCCCTAAAAAAAAAAAAAAGGGGGAAAACCAAAAACCACCTATCCCTAAAAAAAAAAAAAAGGGGGAAAAACAAAAAACCCCCTCCCCCAAAAAAAAAAAAAAAAAAAAAAAAAAGGTGGAAAACCAAAAACCACCTATCCCTAGAAAAATAAAACATGGAAAATCACGCTTTAAGGTGTTGTACCTAGAAATTCATGGAAAATGAATTCGTTGGAAAATTTTGTCAATCAAACAGGCCAAAAGTGGAAGTTAGAATTCGAATTCCAAGTTCCATGGAAAATTTCTTGCAATCAAATGGGGCCTTAATGTTTCTCGATAAGGAGTTTGATGAAGGGTGCATTTGTGAATTTTTTTTGGATTAAAATCATATGTAATTTTTTTTTGAGATGGCAAAATGAGATCTCCACGGTTGAGCTGTCCAATTGATCAAAATTTCATGCTAGTTTTAAGTTATTATTACCAAGCAGCTGGTCAAATTTTCTACTCAACACAGTTTATTCACCTCAATTTTTGTATCGATATGCCCACTCCATTGATGAGCAATGACCGAGGCATGGCCGACAAAGAATTTGTCTAAATTCTGCTTTGCAATCAGCGAAGACGGTAGAAATGGACAAGACAGTGAAAGCAAACGAGATTTTTCACTTTTTTTTAGTTTGTTTTCTTCAAAACGATGGAGTAGCTAGAATGAGTCTTATGCCAACCGGCGAATCCAACACTTGGCAAGCACCGGCAGCCACACTGAACTCCGCCGAATCCCCCCCAACCCCCCACCCCTGCGTATTGGGCGGCTGCCGGATGGCCATCTAGTGACTGCCCAATGCCCGTGTTCACTTCTCATCCTGAATTTGCTAGTGCTTAGCCCTTCCATTGATACACTTCAAGTGGGATCACTTTCTACTAGAGGGCATTCATTCTCGAGTGGAACACTCTTCCAGATATTCAGTGTTACTACCAGGTTATGAAAAAAGCTTAGTAAATCGAGATATACGTCAATGAAGGCATTTTCATGCTAAGAAAATCTCTTAAGTTTGAGAACCATGTCCACATCAATCAAAGTGGTGGAAGGCGCGAGTCGAAGGGTGAGCACTAAGCCGACTTTTGTAAAGATAAAATGCAAACAGATTCCTTCTTTTGCTCCTCATCCTACGGTATTAGCAGTCGTTTTTAACTGTTGCTCTCCTTCGAAGGACAGATTCTGACGCATTATACCCAGTTCGATAAGTAGAGTAATATGAGGCATGGATCCTTTCCATCCCATTCGGGTTCCCAGCCCACTTGCCAGTGTGACTGGACCCCCATCATCAATTGGGCCATCACCTATTCATGAACCCACATCCTACAAACGAAGACCCACATAACTTTGGGCCTTAAAAAACAAATGTTCAAACCCAACACGATTCTACTGCGCCAATTAACTTTGCAGAAGTACGTTGCAAGTAAAAGATGCAATAGAAATGTATTTCGCAGGTCAGTTTAAATCATAACATAACAGACATTAAGAAGTACATCTTGAGCATTTGAAGGAATCTATATCATAAATTTTGTGTTAATAACATCTCTTTTTTAGATTTAAACCTAAAACTATAAAAAAAAATATATGTAGTACAACACAACGAATTATTCATGGAATAATTAACTGTATACACTACAAAATTATTTAACATTGTCAAAATAATCAGTCATTTACCAGTTCAATTGACTCATCAATCGAATAAATGACTCACTTGAACAATGATCTAACCATTCGGTATCCTATATTCTAAAAGGAATGTATAGGTACTTCAAAAGGACCAGAAAAGAAACTAACCTAACATCAGTGTTACCTTATCATATCACTATATGATAATACTGTTCTTCTTGCTTCACTTCATTTTTACATTCCATGCTTGAGAAGTGGTTGCATCTAGTGATTTTCCAGTAAGATTTGATGTCTTTGTACGTGTCAATCTGCTTCAAATTAGCCATTGATAAGATCAGCAAAAATCATGCCTAGAGATGGAATCAATGCAGTTTAATTAGCACTATTATGCATCAAGGAAAAACCTCACAGCAGGACATTACCGATGCACACGCTTCTCTAAAAATCTGGCCAAGGTTGCCCTCCGAGCCATGGCCACCGTTGGAGAATAACAATAGCCTAGTTTGTTAAATTGTTAATATGAATGCCTGAGTAATATCATTAATCATGAGTAGTAGTATAGTAAGAGAAAAAATACCCCATGTGCTTTGTTCAGCGCTAGAAGTGGCCAAGGATGACTTGCCGGCCGCACACACAACGTGATTACCCTAAAACATTTAGAGATAATTTAGATAACAAACATTGAAAAGTGTCAAAGTTGCAACGAGAAAGATGGAGAGAAAGGAAGGGAGAGAATAGAAGACCTTATCTGGTAAAATTTCATGGAAAACATGTGCAGCACAAGAATGCATGGTTGTCCATAAAGCAGGCTGGGCTGTGGGATCGGCAATGGTCCTACAACAAACAACTGACATCAATCCTTTTCTGTGCTTTGTGTGCATTATTAAAATTAGCACATCATCTAAAAGTTAAATTGGGAGAAACTTAATTATTTATATTTATATTTTCACCATGCGCTGCCTAAGTAATTCTGAGTCCTTTTTTCTTCACATAATTGTTAAACATTTTGTAAATGAACAACCATTGAGAGTTAAATTCATCGTCTTTAATTGTTTTAATACCATAAATCAAAGTCTCATTTTATACACGTTCAAGTAAAACTTCTCAAAACCAACATAGTTAATCAGGAGGTAGATTCGAACACCTTAAGTAGGCAGGTTTCTCGTTCAGGTCATATAGGAAACCCGTGGTTGACGAGAATTTGTTAAGAGACGCAGGTACAAATGCTAGAGAAGATTCTTCGCTCGCGTGAGCTTTCTCCAGGCTGCCACTACATGTAGAAATCATCGTATTGATAGGAACTGCCCATGTTTTATTCTGTCTCCACGAAGATGTATGAAATTTTATAAGATAATGCTGCTACAACATTTAAACTTTAAAACAAGTGATAAAGCGTCCATATATAAGAAATATTTCACCAACCAACATAGATTAAGTTTATATCTTACATAATATTGTAGAATGGCAAGAATGATCACATTGAGTCATCTTAATCTTTCTCTTTGCATTTTTTAGTAGAGAATCTATAAAACACTTCGTATATCGTGTATCATTAAATGCTATAATTTAACAAATATAGTCCAATTGGACGAAAATTGCAGCATAATTAAAATTTCCTTGATGTAATGTAAAGGTAAACCCAAATTTTGAATTCTTATAATGTATGATTTGTATTTTTTCAACAAACTTCTTTAAACTTTCTCAGTTTCATGGTATTCTTTGCAGTATAAATTACCGAACATAAGTTTTATTAATTTTTCGCTATAACTTCATAGAAAACAGATAAAACATCTGCTTTAAAGCTAAAGAATGAGAAAAACAAACCTCCCCAAGATTCAGATGCTCTCCCTCGAAATCCACGGAAGAACTGGTACTAAGGGATAAGGATATATCAGCTCCTCGGATGGCTGCAAAAAGGTAGGAATCCAAACTGTAATCTATTAACTGATTAAAGGATAAATCAAAACCGAAATTATGACAAATTAATCATCCAGTTATTTTCAGGTAATTTATTATATTGAAAATAATAATTAAAAAGCAGAAAAACTTTGCGTATAATTTTTAAAAAATAATTAATCACCTTCTTCTTCGGCTTAGGAAATTCACAATTTTACAAGTAATGTGGCGAATAATTAGTATGATTTTGCCGAACAAACACTGATGAAATTTTAAACGTGAATCAATCAGTAAAGTATGGATTAAAAACATTCAAACACAAAAATAAGTACCAATTTAAGTAAACTTAAAAAAATCTGATACGAGCAGAAAGGGAAGTGATAACACAGTTTGGTTACCTGAATCTTTGAACGCACTCTTCATTATCCCTTTCTCTGATTTATGCGACGGTTTGGAATTCAAACCCAAAAAATCTATCTCCATTTCAGAGTTCAGACTGAAATATCAAATCAAGGGAAATTACTTCAAAAATTGATCACAATCAAAATGGGGGAAGAAAAAGATAAAGCCGAGGTTGGTAATGGGTACGCAGAATCACAGGTGGAGAAGCAGTGAACGGTTGTCATTATATGGAAGAAGAAACACGTGCGTGCATGAAACAGGTGCCCCATTTTATATGGACCACTAATCTGTGGGACCGTTCGCATCTTTTTTTCCCCATTTATTTATTAGTGTGCATTTGATTACGTGCTTGAAATTCAAATAGAAATAAAATAAATTCTAAGCAATTCAATTATTTAAATTTTTTTGTATGAAAATTGTCAATTAAATATATTTAATTGATTTAACTTTTGACTTAGAAAATATTATACATATCCATTTTTTATTGATGGACAGATAAGATATAGTGGATAAATGAACGAACGAAAGAAAGAGTAAATTCTCTGAAAAATAAAATCCTAATCCCCTAAATAATTTTTATTTTGTTATTTTGAGGAAAATATGATCACATAACCAAGAGTAGAAAACTATTTTTCATGAAAAAATGTCAAAGACAAGAGTCAAAGAAATTATGACAGATTTTAGAAAAGTTAAAAGACAATTATGAAAGGTATTTACTTTTTTTGCTTATATTTATCAAAAAGTTTTAAAAAGTCTATTTATAGACTCGTGCCGCATTCCAATTGTCACCACGTTAATTGCAAGATAAACGTTAGTTTAATGAGGATGTCTTTTTCAAAAAATATGCCACGATAAAAGTGTACTAAGAAAAGCTTTGTGAAAAAAAAAAAAAAAACACTATGTGAAAAGACTGGTTGTCGTGTGTATGATAATATTCAATAAATTAATAGTCTTACTTATATAATAAACGTTTAAATCTTAAAGTACTATTCGTAATCATATTATTTTTACTAGGATTATTCAAAAAATACTTGACATTCATCATAGTTTTATATGGTAGACCATAAATGACTCATGTAATCTTTGAAAGCCTTCATTTTTACCAACTTCGGTTCAAAAGTAATAATTTCATCTTATTTAGCTACCGTTTGAGTCCTTTATTTCTCATTTTCCCCCATTTTAAAGACTTTCAATATACAAGTCAGAGACCTATTTTTCAATAGTTGAAATCGTGTGTTAGATGACAATAATACTACTACAACAGTAGGAAATAGATTTACGGCCTGTTTGGGAGTATTTTTTTTGCCCAAAAAATTGATTTTTTGATCGTTATTTTACTATATTAACCGTCATAATTGACTTCTTCTTTCACAAGTAGATTTCTCCTAATGATCAAAAAATTAATTCTCAAAATCACTTCCAAACTGACTCTTACAATTTCACCCTCCTCAACCTGCCATTTCCTACTACAAAACATTTGTAAGGGTAGTATTGTAATTTGCATTGGCAATGATAGTAATATTTTATTGTAAACTCCACATCCAACTGACAAACTGCACGGTTCAGTGAATTTAAATTATTTTATTGGTGTTGGGTCCCATTAGCATACAACTTTTGACTGAAGAAAATGAAAAGAAATGGGAATGAATGTGGCTCAAACGGAAGCTCAATCTTGCTCTAACCTCGTAGCTCTGCAAGATGCTAATAAAAAACCATGTTGATAATGCCTTTTTAGCGATTGAATAATCTCAGCATCATAATTGAATATTTGATGTTGTATTAGGAGGCAAGAAAAATGATTCAACATTAATGTTTTAATGTATGTGCACACACTAAGTTTCTAAGTACTTGTATAATCATTAGTTTTGAACATATTCATTGTTTTATTTTATTTTTTAGTCATACACCTATCTTGATTAATAAAAAAATATATATGTACAACTAGTAAAAATATAAAACACTTTCAAATTTAGCATATTATTTGATAGATTAATTATTCTGCTAAAACAGTAATTATTTCTAACCCAAAAGTATATTTAATAAATAGTTTTAGCATAAATAGCTTTGCTTTTCAAGAAATCTTTGAATAGATTTTGAATCTTGTGCAACGACACGTCTACTCTTTTGAACGACATTGCAAAGAATATTTGGCCGACGATTAATCAACACTATATCAAATCAATCATTTATATGTTTGATGAAGCAATAGATACACATAGATAAAGCCATGAAGGTATCAATCTTGGGAAAAGCTTTTCTCCCTATATTCCAAAAAAAGGCCTCCAAGTTGTTATGTAATTATTGGTTTGCTTCAAGTTGGTTGTTTCTTTTGGGAAAATTGCAGCAGCAGTCCTAAACCTTTTCAATTTTTGGACTTTATCCTAACATTCATTTTGTGCTAGTGGATGTCCCTAACCTTTCATAAATATGCATCCGAGATCCATCTGGACGGAAACCGTCCAACACACTGTCAGTTGACCTGAAAAATTAAAAAGAGGAAGTTTGACCATTTTAACGAGGGGCAATTCCGTCCTTACATATTTTTCCTCTCATTCAAAAAGGACAAATGTCATTTCCTATTAACGTTAACAGAGACAAAGGAGCAAACGATTACCTTCGACGATGTCTGAAGAAAGAAGCCTTGAATCCGACATTAATGTTGAAGATATTGAATGCCACATACGAGGTCTTCTTCCTGAACCTGTGTATGGTGAGTGTTATTGTGTTATGAAATTTTTGAAAACACTGATGTTGTGTAAAGGGCGTTAAAATGGTTTCATGTAGTGAAGTTTCTCGTATGTTGTACTATTTTATTGACTTAGTTGTATCATAAATCATACAATCACTATGGGTTTACATTATGCATTCGCGTAATGTGTGACTAAGGTTTCGGCTTGACGATCGTTTGTGTTTAACTTGTTTTACAAGGCAAAATTCTACTTATTTTACCATAAAACTATACCATGGTGGTATGTTATTCTCGAAGATGCAGAATTTTGTGTACGAGCATGGTAAGATAGCATATCTTAACTACGTAAATTCCAATTGGTTTAATAGATTTCTTCTGGACAATGCCATGAAGATGTTAGGATATTTTCAGAAAATGAAATATCTTTATAAGGTTGACAAGATGAGATTGAGTGATGTATCATTTTGGTTAGTGAGGGATGTAGACTTTATGAATGTAGTGAAGCGGTATAGAAAGAAGAGGATTGTAGAGTTGTAGTGTTTGCTTGTAGTGGACGTGTTGGAATTGCCATGGGATGATAGAGTAGGGCTTGATATTCTAGTTGTTGGTGTCAAAACGGTGAAGCTTTGGAAGAGGTGGTAGAAAAAGGAAAAGAAGAAGTTGATGGACAAGTTCTCCAGCATGCACACTACACTGTGGAGGTCTATGATGAAAGCATAGATGGTAATGACACATATGTTGTGGATGAAGTTGAGTGTGAGCAGGATGTACCCATTGTTGGAATTGATGATCCTGTAGCTAATATATCAGATTGTGATGTAAATTTAGAGATTTCTATTGAAGCTGTTGAAGATCCACCTATGGTTGATGAGAATGTGGAGATTCCTATTGAAGCTCATGTTGAAGATCAAGAATGTGGAGATTCCTTTTGAAGATCCTGATGAAGATCTACCTCTGGTTGATGAAGACGTCTGGATTCAAGTTGAAGATCTTGTTGAACTACCCCTTGTTGAAAATGTGGAGAGTCCCGTTGAAGATCTACGTTCACCATCCCTTGTTGAAGATCATGTGGTGCCTTCTGCTCTACAGCCAAATGTGAAGACTCTTGCTCAACAACCATATGAGAGTGATGCACCACCTATCAATGGAGATTATGACATGGAAGAGAGACCATTGGAGGAGTTCAATGATCCAAAATATAAGCAAGATGAAGATGTAGCTACAGATGATAGTGATGAAGATTTATTCTTCAAGTTGACTGAACTGCTTGACATTGGTGATGAAAATGTGATGGATGAAAAATAGGGCAATGCTGGTGGTGAACATGGTAATGGAACAGACCACGATGACTCGAATTATCTAAGAAGCATTCCAAGTGAATCTGAAGAAGGCGGTTCCTCCTCAAGAGCTAGGGATGGCATTTGATTTAACCTTGCCACTGACATACTAGATCTAAAGTTCCAGATAAGTAACAATGTTTTCTACTTTACCGTTTTCTACTTATCCTATCTTATATCTTCTGGCAAGATCCCCTGATATGCAAGATCCATTCTACATGGCATGAAGTTTGACAACATAATGATACTGAGAGGCGTAGTGGTACACTACTCAGTGAAAAATGCAAGGTAACTCCGATATGTGAAGAATGAAAGAATCAGACTCAGAGTTAGGTGTGAGAATAACTGTCCATGGGAGTTATATGCCAACCAACAACCGGATAAGAGTTTTAGGATTAACATATTCAAGGGTGAACATACTTGTACAATGGTGTGGTAAAATAGGAGAGTTCATGCAGGGTAATTGGCGAAGAAATACATACGTAAGTTCAAATCGGATTCGAAATTGTCCATGAGTAGTTTCATTGAGGCAGTGAAAGAAGAATGCACGTATGAGATATCGATGCATTAATTTTATAGCAAAATATTTAGAAGTCATTAATGGTCTTGTAGCAGAGCAGTATAAGATATTATGGGACTACGATGAGGAGCTTAAAAGAACAAATCCTGATAGTACGGTTCATTTTGAAGGCTCGGGGGGTACATTCAAAATATGTTACATATGCTTGGGAGCTTGCAAAGAAGGTTTTAGGGATGGGTATAGGCCTATCATTGGTTTGGATGAATGCTCCTTAAAGAGCGATCAAGGTGGCCAGTTGTTAGCGGTAGTGGGTATCGATGGAGAGAACTGCATGTTTCCTATTGCATGGGTTGTAGTGGACGTAGAAAACAAAAGGAATTGGGAGTGGTTCATAGAACCTTTGCTAGTTGACATTGGGATGTGTAATAGCAGGGCTTGGACCTTCATTTCTAATAAACAGAAGGGCTTGGTAGACTCCATTAACCTCTTCTGTGAAGGTACTGAGCACAGGTGCTGTGCAAGACACTTGTATAGCAACTTCACTTTGGCGCATAAGGGGCTCACTTTGAAGACTCTATTCTGGGCTGCAGCTAGGGCCACAATTGTGCCTGGTGGAGGAATGCAATGAATGAGATGAAAGAAGTGAATGAAGATGCCTTCA